TTGACATCATCTTCGACTTTAGATAAACGCAATTCAGTTTCTCGTAGTTGAGCAGTCAAGTTTTTAACATAATCTTCGAGTTCACTAATTGATTCCTGAAGATTCACTATTTTTATACAATTAATTGAGTTGAAGGGTAAACACAATAACAAAAGTAACAATAATTTTACAAAAAAAGCAATACTATTAAACGGATTAATAAGTATAATGAACATCTCAGAAGTGTAACTCAGCTCATCTTTCAATTAACATCAAATAAAGTAGCCAAATGAATGAACAACTTTCCAGAAAAAAGAGAGTCTCTCTTATCATCCAAAGATGATAAAAGATGATTGTGCGCTCTTCAACACTATTGTTGTACTTCGATACAATTAAGCGTTAGATGGAGACACCGAAAATTACCTTCAAATTGATACAAAAAGATGATAAAGGCGGCAATTCGGTGAAGTTGCTCGTGCATGATGATAATTGACCGATGAAATGCTATGAGATACATCGAGATGGATTTTGTAGATCATTTCAAGGCAATTTTTGGTGTCTGTAATTGTGGTTCTTCACTTCTAGTTACATATGACCGGTTATTTGCTGGTTACGAATTTCTTGCCGCCAAATTTGAAAATCAAAATAAAGTTTGCGCTCCTTTAGTGAATGTCCAATCCAATAGGTGCCATCGACACCAACAAGTAATAATATAACTTTTGAGTATAATTTGTGAGTCAACTCAAAAATTGACTCAGACGGTGCTTTCATAAAATTTTCGTTGCACACTTGCAAGGTGCAAGTTGCAAGTTCTATTCTGAATTAATTATTGGCATCCATTTTCCGAAATAATGTCGCGTTTCCGCTAACACGTGAAAAACGTGGAGAATGCATAGAAGTAATGAAATAATAATCAGAACTGAAACCACGTTAGGGATAGATTTTGCATGTACAATAAATTAATGAAATTCATAGACGATTTACAAAAAGAGATTTATTTTGATCCTCCACCCGCAGTCTGATTTTTTTTAATTAACCATAAGTCACATTGATTGTGAGATTACATATTACGAATTCTCGGTAAATCGAGATGGACAAAAACCAATGAAAATTCGTTGTGACACGGCAGCTGCTACGGGACTACCCAGTCAATGTTGGCAACTATGCCAGAGCAACGCACATTTA